AACAAACCGCAAACTTGTTTTCTCCAAACATTAACTCTACTGGACTGAATCCAAATACAAACCATAGTTTTTAGAAATATAGTTTTAAAAAAATAAAAGGGAAGTGTGTGTAGAAACAAAACAAGCGAAATGATGACTCAGCCACCACCGTGCATCACAGCAGACAAGAACGGCAAGAGTTTGATTTAGATTAAACTCCTTAGATTTAGACTGATGGTGGTCAGTGAGCCCCAGGGCAGCTGTGGCTACGATGTAGCTTGCCACCATCAGTGTGTGACTTAATGGGTGAATGAATGTAGTGTAAAGCTTTGGTCAAGTCCTCTGACTTGATAAAGCGCTATATAAGTACAGGCCATATACAATTTAGATAAAGTATGCCTTCTTTCATCCCGGCATCCTTCTATCGGCAATAATATCAACCCCTTAGCGATACACACTACATTTACTGTTAGTTATTTACCATCCTATAACAATTAATTATGCGCTGATTAAATAAAAACTGGCTTTCTTTAACTTTTAAGCTTTATTTTAGTCTAAGCAACGGCTACCTACCCTGACACATTTACTCACATCAACAGCTGTTTATACATTAACATGTATTTTTCTACTAGCTTCCAGTCCTCTGCATCCATCTTTTTGTGTAGTACCTACAAAACTACTAAACTTTTATAAAAAAAAAAAACTTGATTAAGATTGCAATTTAGTTCTGCTGAGATCATTTGTTCTTTTAAAAAAACCTAGATAAACAGACTCTGATTTTCAAACAAATCCTATCCTCTTCAATGACTGTGTTTTTCTCTCTGTGGTTTGATGTAGTTTTCTCAGACTGAAGGCTATCAACCAGCTTCTCTGAGGCTCATAAAGGAGGCTTTGAAGATGAATCCACCCAGCCAGAACCTCCACTGTGGCTCAAAACCCTCGAGTGAAGGTAATGGTGTCAGACTTCGAAAGACTTCAGAGACGAGCAGTTTTACAGAAAGTGCAAACTCTTCATCTCACAAACTCCCTCCTCCCTCTGTGTCTCCCCTGCAGACCTCACAGATCGCCCTCCATCTCTTCATCAGAAAGGAGAGGAGGACTGGGCTCTGAACCGTCCTGAACCATCAGCTGGAGGCATGACAATGGATGAGCTTCGAGGTCTGGAATCTGCGCTGAGAGCTGAGAGAGGCCGCGAGCAGGCCACCGGTACAACACGGAGCGACAGCGAGGTGACACAAGGGAATGAGACAAGCGTGGCTCCGAAGTACATTGGACTGGATGGACTGGAACAGGAAGAAGAACTGGATCCTAAGCCTCCTGCTCTGCAGAGGGAGAATTGTGTTGTGCAAGCTGCTTTGAAAGATGTGAGGGCTGAAGGTGTGGATGGGTTGGAGCTAAAGCTAGCCTGGTCGAAGAAGCTGAGAGAGGCAGACTGTGCTGTTGTAAAGCCTGTAGAGGGTTCTGTAGAGCAGGCAGAGTCAGAGCAGCTGCATCATCTGTCTGCTCCTGGAAGCGTTGAGGAGAGCGGAGAAGAAGAGGGCGGAGGAGATCTGCTCCACTTCTGTCCACATTGTGGAGGAGGCTTCACTTCAGAGGCGGAGCTAGATGAGCATCCGTGTCCACTAGGTGTCGCCCATCTACAGGGCAGCGGAGCAGAAGGGGGCCTCTTCCCCTGTGCCCACTGTGGCAACACTTTCAGCCATGCCTGGGCCCTCAAAAACCACGAGTGCGCCTGCGCTGCTGAGCGACCGCACTGCTGCGAGATCTGCGGGAAGCGTTTCACACACTCGCGGTCCCTAGAACGCCATCACCTGGTGCACACAGGCGAGAGGCCACATCGCTGCCCGCAATGTGGTCGCTGCTTCAGTCGTCTAGGCAACCTGGAGAGGCACCAGCGAATCCACACGGGGGAACGTCCGTACGGATGCGAGGCCTGCGGCAAACGCTTCAGCCGTGTGGAGTATTTAAAAAGACACCAGCTGATTCACAACAGTGAGAAGCCAACACTGCAGTGCTCCAACTGTGGGAGGAGCTTCTTTGATGTGGAGGAGCTGAAGAACCATCAGTGCTTTTAGAGCCTCCCTTTGAGAACCTCAGACTCTGTAGAAAGTTGGAGTTGGCAAACGAACACGACTGCGTTACTCTGTGATAATGTTATAGGTGCACCTGGGTGATTTTTGCTGGCAAGAAATCAACTCAAAAATTCTTATTGTTGCAGGTCATAAAAATATCTGCTGTTTTTCTGTGGAAATGTGTAAAATCAGAAAATATTTATAAGAAAGACTACATTGTTAGTTTTCATTATTTTAGCAATAATTCACTTGTATTTAGTACCAGTTCCTTTCCTGCCAATTTAACTGACCGTTTTGTAGGCTTTGTATTTTGTATCTTTGTGTTTTGGTCACTGGTAAGAAAAATAAACGTTTTGATTCATCAGATGAAATGTGTGCACATTATTTACAGGTTCAATTGTCACGGTTTGCTGCCTCTCAGAAGACCTTGTTCCAAAAACCCTGATATTTCCTTCTGTACTCTCAGTGTTAACAGGGTGCTCTCTGGATTTATTTTCTTCCAGTTATTTTACCTGACTGGAAAGAAAATATTGCTCCACTGGTTCTCAAATGCCTTGCTAATTAAAAACTCCCAAAGAACAAAGATAAACAGTCAGTGTTTAGAAAGTGAGAACTTAAGTGGTCAACGTTCCAAAAAGCCTGTTCCACTGAAATAACATTAAATATTCTGAAATAACATTTAATATTCTGTGTAAATGATGCTGATCAATTAAAAGTAAAGTTGTATGATAAACAAGTTGAATGATAAACAACACCATGTGTCTTTCTGCTTTTAGGCTTCAGATTTAACAACATTCCTGTGTTGTGTTTGCGCTGAAGAATTGTAGAAGAATTAAATAGTCATCAGGGTTGCTAGAAACAAAGAATTTAATGTGAATTCTGTGTTTCCAGCAGTCTGCACCCTGGACAGGTCGTCAGTCTGGCGCAGGGCAACACAGAGACATACGATCATGCGTACACACACCTAAGGACAATGTAAAGACACCAATTAATCCAACAGTCATGTTTTTGCAAGGCAGCAGTGCTACAAACTGCACCAGGGCCTGAAATATATACCGGTAGTTCTAATCACATACCCCATTCTTAACATGATTGAACTTGATCATTTATGTTAAACATAATATAAGTTATTCTCGCCTTTTTCCATTTATTTGAGTTCAATGTTAACAGACAATCCCCTCTAGCTGTGCCATGATGGATTTTTCTCAGAAAGCCAAAATATCACTTCCCCTTTTTTCAATGTTCCTTTATTAGCGGTTTAAATTGGCTCTTGACTGTTGTTCAAAGAGTCCTCAAAAATGTAATTTTGTCTAATAAATGTACTACTATTGTAGTTAGCTTTAGACTAAAATGGCCCCTGAGCATTGTGGCCACAGAGAAGCTCAGAGTAAATTGGTCTGGATGGAATAAAGTAGAAAAACATCCACTCTGCAAAGGGAGGAAGAAGCAAAGGAGGAGTTTAGCTACTGGAAAGCCTGCAGGGGGCGCTGTAGAATAGAGAGAGAAAGTGAAAAGATAACCCTTTATAACCCTTAAGGTTTAAAACCTTTCTGCAACGTTTTGCTTAGTTTTTATCTAATCTTCAAACACTCTATATAGCTTATTAAACAAACACCACTTTAAAATGCTCAGTATATTTATACTTCAGGCTTCCTACATCCTTCTGCAATCAGAAGGTATCTGCACCAATCATTTATGTGAATAGAGATCAGTGGTTGAACAGGGCATTTTCCAACAGGCGACACAGGCAGCTGCCGGGGGCGCCATCTGCTGGACATGGTGCAACATTGCATAATGAGAAAAATGAACTAAATGTACCGGTATTTATATATTGTGAAACCATGGATACTGAAATAGGAAATTCTGATTAGTTAAATTTAAAAATTGGGAATATTAGTGAGATTTTGGTGTAAGTTCTGTGTCAACTTATTTTCCTTAAAAAGAGATCTTAGTGATCCTGTATTGTTGACATTCATTAAGATGACTTTGATTGCACATTGTGGTATAATGTTTTTAAGTAAATAAGATTTTTTTTTTTACAATTACATTGAGATAGTTGAGTTCTGCTTTTGATTTATTCTGGTCTATATATGACACAAAACACTTGGTTATTGTAATAACCAAGTTAACATTTATTCTGTTTCACTTTTGCCTTTCAAATTTATTGTCTTAACCTTGATATTTTAGCTTTACTTTAGATTGTACAGCTGAAAGTTACTTTTAATTTTGCACTCACCACATTCACAGACTCTTTAAGTTGTTGTATATTGTAATATTGTAATTCTATCCCTAAAACTTATATTTATTCTTCAGGTTATTGCCTTTAAGAGTTTTTGTTTAAACATTAAAAATGAAAAAAATAATAATTATACAATAACTGTGCTGTTGCTATGTGGGAAGAGTGCAAGTCAAAGGGGCACTCCCACCTTGGCCGCCAGTGAACCTAGAGTTGTTGGGTTATATCTAATCTGTGAATAAAGGCAGACTAGAGGCCAAACCAGGCCTAAAATAAATTAAAAAAAAACAGTAGTTTTATGATTATGATTAGATCAGTGGGAGCATATCATTCATTTCAATTCAATTCAAAAATACTTTATCAATCCCAAAGGGAAACATCAGTTTAAAAATAATTTTTATGTAAATAATTATGAGTCTCTCCTTTGTTCTGTTAGTTTTAATTTCCATAATATTGCTTATTGTACATTCAACTCAACTTCATTCATTTATCCAGGCCTAACAACAGATTTCCTCTCATGAAATGTAATCCAATCATACGAATCCCAAGTCAATTACAGCACAGATTAATACAAATAGATTACATCAGAAATGAAGAAAAAAAAAATCTTTCAAAAGCATCAAACTATTATGACAAAAAGCCTTAAGTCTCGTTTTGTTTCATGCTTATTCTCTAATTGTTTAATGGAAAATTAGACACAGAAAAAAAAAACAAAAGAGTCTAGTTGATTGTAGCCCTTGTAAAATTTATTATAACAAATAAAACAATCCAAATTATTACTTGTGACTCAGTGGTGAGTAATAAAGCCAATCCTTTTATAAATTTGAATTCCTTCATTTCTCACATTTTCCACTAAACAGACGGATAGTAGCATTCAGCCTCTGCGCCAGGATGCCCTCCAAATTCTTCAGAGGCACCTGCCTTACATCATAACCTCGAAATGATGGCTTCACTGCAGCATTAATAGGAACAATCTCCTCTCCGCTGCTGCGATCATTTCTTCCCACGGCACCAAATGTAGGAAAGAACTGTTTCATAGCCTCAGGGAGGTCAGCTCTGTACGAGGGGCAGCAGTAAGCAGACCACATGTACTCAGGAACAGACACTCTGTTTTTGATCCAGCGTGTCTTTGATTTGTAAGGCATGGTACCAGTGATTACGTACATCAGCCCGTTGCAGAAGTCCTTGAATCTGTTCAGCACCTCTTTCTCCAGCCTGTTCCAGGGCCCAGAGTTTGAGGCAACCCGTTGAGGGACAATGTTTGTCAGAGTAAAGGTGGCTTTCCTGTCTTCTTCCCTCCTCTGGTGCATACTAGGACAGAGGTGACCTTTGGAGAAGTCAGAGTTCTTGTAGTCCTGGAGGACGGCTTGGCTTTCAACAACATTCTGATCAACTGTGGCTTTAAAATCTTTCATTTCTGGACTGGCACCGGAAAACGCCAACTGGTAGCAGAACAACAGTGAATGAATGATTAAATCAATCAATAATTATCGATTGTAGAAACTTCAACAGATTAAATAAAACTCCTACTATGGACACAACTATGTATACACCAATAAAATTGTTTAAGGAGTCTTTGAAATATTCTTTTATGTGTTTTACATTAAAAGTTGGCAATTACTTTAACAGTGCAAATGTGTATGAGGCATATGAATACAGAGGCAGTGGTGGGAAGAGAAGCCAAGAATTGTACTAAGTATTTGCATTACTACTCTGGCATACGTTTAGTCACTTCAAGGTGATCATCCCAGCAAAAATACCCTCATTAAAATATTATGTAACAAACAGAAAATCTAAAACTTATGTGCAGCTTCTAGTCTTCAGGATAATAAAAATACAAAAACAGAGCAAATAAATAACATAATTAAAAAACAACGAATTAAGGTAGTAGAAAAATTTTTCTAGATCCATGTTCCAAAACATACAAGGACTCAACAAAGAGAAGATTTAATTAAAACGATGAAGCAAGTTAACAATTTTGGTTTAAAACAGGCTTGTTGAGGGGTTCTGAAAAAAAATGCAGACTAACACTCAGAGGCAGAACGGTGAATACTGAGAATTCAGCCGATCATATCAAGCAAATGAGGAACAACAGACTGATCCCTTATATAAGGATCAAGACTGGTTTGAATAATCAAACAAATGAGCAACAGGTGCATGAAACCAGCTAATTAACAGAAGCTGTGGGGGAAACGATAAAATGGAGGAAATACAAGAGACGCAGTAAAATAAAAAGCAAAAGTAATGCCTTGAGGAAGTAAAGACAAAACCAGCCAAAAACACAAAGAAATTCTTCAGAGAAACAAATAAAAAAGGGCTAAACAAACAGAAATAAAAAGACAAACAGCAAAAGTAGCAGAATATGGAAAGACATCACAAGCTGAATCAAAATCACAACCTAACTTGCAGATCTTGGCATTTCATCATAGAGTAAAGTAAGTTGGATTAGAGCAGCCAGAAGTGTTACCCTAAAATAATATTATAAGTGATGTGCAGTAAAACGATTAAATGAATACCTATGAAAATGTAACTGAGTAACTAGTTACTACTGACAGAATGATACTCAGCTTTGGGACCTTTTGTACATATTTCACTTTTCTAAAATCATGGACTTATAGTTCAACTATGTTTCTTATTGGACCTACCTGTGGTTCATACTTCCACTTGGGTTTGGGCCGCCTTCCATCAGCAGGACTCAGAATGTAGGCAGAGTACAAAGGAGCCCGATGCCGACGGTTGTACAGGCTGGCAAAGTGATATCTGTTCTTGTAGCGCTGACAAATAGGCTGGTATTCTGCACCAATAATCCCCCTAGGGGGAGTTTTATTGTAGAAGAAATCGAGGCAGGGGGAGAAGTCCTTGCTGATCTCTCCCATGACCAGACCACCAAACCAGGGCAAGAGAAAGAGCAGGACTGCTGAGGAGAACGGCAGCGAGTTCTTCCACATCTTGTGGAGCAAGTTGGTCAGATGAGAGGAATCAACGGTAGAGAGATGAAAGATCTGCAGATGGGCTTCCTCCTATAAGGTGCTGTATTCTCAGGGAGATGCTTTATATGCTGACAAGCGAAACCTTGTGGGGATGTTTTGAACAACACCCATTTTCAGCAAAACTTCTTACCTAAACCTGCGGTCAAAGTAGCAGAAACAGGTAATAAGAATTTTGTAGCAGTTAGATAATTTCCTATAACCTAATGTTTGGTCTTATGACATCAGTGACGGGAAACAAGACACACTAACAATCTTGTGGCCAAACTGAAACAATTTTAAGTTTACTCCTACACAAACTGACTTTGTTTTTGTTTTTTTTCTTTTCATCCATTTCATATTCAAAGCATTGAATATTTGAACATTTAGAAAAATGCCCCCATTACAAGGCAACTGCAGTCTGGAGATGCATATTGGTTGGCATCAAACCCAAAGTGTCCATCAGCACAATCACAAAGGACTGCTTGACTGTAATATTTAGCCACAGACATATCTAAAGTGTTTTGCACAATGTTCTGCATATTGGCCACGTTATATGGACGCCAATCACAGGGGAGTTTTTTGTGGCTAATACGCTACTGCTAACTAAGAGTAGAGACATCTTGTAAGAGCAAACAGAAAAGTGCCTTTAGACTTAGGGTTAGATAAATAAATAGATATATTTGTTATAAAAGTGCAAACCAGTTAGTTTGCACTATGAGCACCCTGATGCACGCATGGAATGGCTCCTTTCTCATGCCTGTGTAAATAGTGCAAGCCAACAGAACTGACAAAGGCTCGTGGATAGGTGTCAAAACGTCTTCAAAAACTGTCAAGTTGCCTTCCGTTTCAAGCCTATTTGTGGTTGCTGCTTTCTCAGTAAATCTGTTATTGAAAACAGTGCCTGTTCCATTAAATGTCCTCGATACATAGAAAAAGCAAATCAAATATTTTCCTTTAAATCACGCAGCTCTACTGAGGTTTTTGTACTTTGAGAAATGCTAAAGTTGCAAATTGTATATTAGTCCAAACCATTTGTGGAGATGTTCACATGGGATTGTTGGTGATGATGCTGTGTGGATGCATTAAATCATTCCTATTGTTGTTACCTACTTTATCCTTACCCTAGTCTCATCATTCAGCTTCAATTTTTTATGCCTATATATATATATATATATATATATATATATATATATATATATATATATATATATATATATATATATATATATATATATAAATCTGTCCAGAAATTATAGTTCCTGTAGAAAATGAAAATCGAATGCTCCTTACAATCAAATAACTTATTTTCTTTAAAAATGCACTTGGCCTGTTTACATTCAGCTATAATGTTAAAGCTTAAACAGGTGAAGATGAATGCTGCAATTATCAAAACCCTGTTTTTGTTTAAGCTTCATAGTCACTGCATTGTTAACCACTTAAAGCTGTTAATCCACTATAATATTAAGCTAAACGCCTAAATTTCATGTTTGTTTTGTTCTTTTTTTTCTGGCAAACATGCTCCTCTTTCTGTCCAACCTTTAACAATAAATCAACAATAAAGTACTGATGAAAACATAAAATTATGTGTCTTCTTTCACATGGCATGACTTGCAAATGGCTGTTTCTTTAGAATTATGAAATACAAGAAGCCCGGAATTCCACCAAACCTCTCTGCAGAGCATAGTGCAAACTTCAGAGCAAGATTTCTGAGACAGCAGCTTAACCGATGACCTCTGTTTTAAACAGTAGCAGGTTTCTACGACGATTTAAAGCATTCAATATTTGCTTCCATTTTTACAGTTGAACCCTGAGTCCTGTGTCACTGCATTTCATAGGAAATGCAGTTTTTACTGCTTTGAAGCTATTTCTTAAAATTTTTTGACACAATGACACATTTCACCGAATCCCTGTTTTTGTTTCTCTTTCAGTATTTCTGTATAACTGTCATCCTTCTGTTACATAAACTATGACACACTAGGTAATCAGGTTCTTGATAGTTCTTGATCACAAACACATGCAGACAAAATCATTGGTTTCCCTCTTTTAATAAAAGAAAATCCACAATGGTTATAGAAAAAACTTGAATCCGACTAAAGAGATATATATATATAAACACATTAAACAGGCCTGGACAAAAATGATGGTACCCTTAATCTAATGTTTTATTGCCCAACTACACTTAAACGATTCCTTTAACTGTCAGTAAAGCTTCTGCTCTGCTCAGCAGGTATTTTGGCCCACTCCTCTGTAATAAGAGGATTTATGTTATTACTTACTTGATCAATTTAAGGGAAAATGTACTTATTTCCAGAAAAAGGCACATATTTACATTTTTGTCAGTCTCCTAAAAACAAAATCTGAAATTGAAATAATCTGTATAAAAAAAGGTTATAAATGATAAAATTCACTAAACATTTTTACTTACTGCTTATACAAATCATCGAATGTATTCTTTTGGAGGATGTCTGCCACTCTCCATAGCATTAGCAAGGTCTAGCGTTTATATTCAGAACAAACCCAAAATGTGTAGATACCTTCTAGGGTAAATTATCATTGTTAAGTAGCTAATCGCTGGAATTACTGTTCACCACTCATAAAGCACTAACGAGGTATTTCTATGTTATTTTCTTTTCAGAGTTATTATGTTTTATTTACGGTCAATGATGGGATAGAAAGTGTATATAGATTTGAAAAAAATTCCTCACAGAGAAATTAAACCAACATTTTGCAGCAGGTTTCCTCAACCTCCTTCAAAAAATGTCGTCCTGAATTAAACCCCTGCTTTTTAAGATTTTCAGCTTCAGATATGTATAAACATGTACTCCACACACTTAAAACAATTTTTTTTGTTTTTTATTTTATTTTGCACAAGTATTTACCACCACCCAAGCCCATCTAGGAGCTGTAGAGAATGACAGCTCAGGAGGAAGACTTTCAGTCTGTTTGTTCTGCACCAAAGACATATAGATGGAATAATGTAAAAAGAAAGTCATTATTATGAGAAAAATCATCCAATCAAAATCCACCTCATCCATAAGGAAACCTGTGGAGGATGTTGAGACTTAAATTAAACATTTGGCCTACATGCAAACCATGAGAAAAGGGCTTAAGACTGAAGTTTAGATTCCTCATAGCTACTGTAAAATGGTTTCAATAAAAATTTGTAAGAATGGTTCAGTCAAAGCCTAGATTTAAACCCATATAAAAAAAAAATTGTAAGATGTTCAGAGATATTTTTTGTAAAAAGAATGAGCAAAGAGTTTACTCTCCAGATGTGAAAAGCCAGTCGATGGATGTGAATTACAGCGGATCCTGCAAGTATGAGTATAGGTAGGGTAGTGGTGTCCTAGTGATTAGGGAATAGAGCTTGGAATCCTGAGGTTCTGAGTTTGAGCCCCACTCCCACAGACTGCCACTCTGGGTCTCTGAGCAAGACCCTTAACCCCCGGGTGCCCCATGATGGCAGCCCACTGCTCCCCAAGGAGATGGATTAAATGCAGAGGTAATATTTCAACAAAGTTCTGATTCAAGGAGTCTGAATACAGTCATACACTTAATTATTTCCACATCATTTCTATATGATTGTGTTGCACTATCAAATAAAACAATATAAGAAACACTCAGGGTTTTTTTGTGACGTGACAAAATAATAAAAAAAAAACAGTTAATGGTTAAGAAAAAGCTTGCAAAACACCCTGTCAAATCAAATGTTGCTTCATGACTTAGTTCGCTTATACCTTGGTCAGGCTCTGGATTGATTTTTATGGTTTATGTTTTACTTCATTTTTAAACTACCTCGTCTTTTACTCTTTGTTTCTTCTATTTTTTTTTTTTTTCTTTCTAAGAAAGTTTGTCAAAGCGCTGCGGGCTGAAGTGGTGCGCTTCCTGGCTGATCCTCTCCATTGCGCAGCAGCTCTGAGCCTGTAACAGCACGCCTCTTTTTGAGGACACTCGCACTGCTGGCAGCTTCAGGCCACACCCTTTCTTGGCATAAACGGAAGACTAGTTTTGTCTCAACCCCATAGTTGCCACTGTTTCTGTTGAGGGGGGAAAAAATTATGAGCGCGTCGGAGAATGGCGGAGTCCAGCGCGCTTGAAGAGCTGCAGTCGGAGCTCACCTGCCCGGTGTGTCTGGAGCTGTTCAGAGACCCGGTGATCCTGGAGTGCGGTCACCACTTCTGCCAGGTGTGCATCATCCAGTGCTGGGAAGCGAAGGCGGACGAGCTCTCCAGCTGTCCAAAGTGTAGAAAGACTTGCGCTCGCAAACTGCGGCCCAACTCTCTGCTGTGTAACGTGGTGGACAGTGTGCGCAGAGCGCGCGCCATGGACGCGGCCGCGGGGACGCCCGGGTGGGATCCCGTGGGGCCCCTGGAGATGCCCGAGGAACGAGAACCCGGTTCCAGTATGGGCAGCGTGGCCTCCTCTATCGGACACTGGCCTCATACGGTTCTGGATATGTGTGAGGAACATGAGGAGAAGCTCAAGCTGTACTGTGAGGACGACCAGCTGCCCATCTGCCTGGTGTGCGGGATGTCCCGGGACCATAAAACCCACAATGTCATCCCGATCACTGAGGCCTTTGAAAACTACAGGGTAGGCCTTTCTCTTCTTTTCTTCCTGATTATCTTTCCCCCTTTTTTAACCATTTAAAATCAATCCTTTAATCCACTGACTCCACACACTTCAGATTCAGAGCTCCAGTCAGGAAGTGTCTCACTGCTGCTCTTTACACACAGGCCTTTCACAGAACAAGCATGGCTGCTGTGTTTTGAAAGGAGACTCCCTATTTGCTCAGACAGATTTTGTCTACTTTTACTGGAATTCAACAGACCTCTGTGAAGTTTTCCAACTCCCCCTCAATCCTCACCACTTTTGTGTTTTTGACCAGTTTTTTTTATTATAATTATTCAGTTTTTTGCACTGGGCTGCTCTTTTGTCAGCCATCATATGACTCTGATTAAAGTTTGCATACGGTCTGAGCAAAGCACAGATTACATTAACTCTAAGTAATCTAGTTTGCCATCTTGGATTCTTAACAAATTTTCTTTTTTATTTCTGTCCAATCAGGAGAAGCTGGTTGTAGCTTTGGGAAGAATTCAGCTTCAATCAGAGGAGGCAACGCTTTTCCAGAATCAAACCAATGAAAAGATCCTGCTCATTAAGGTATTAAAGCTTTTTTCTTCATCCATTAACCTTACATTAAGAAGTCCAGGGAGCTTGGGAACGTCCACCTGCATTCCTGCGCCTCCAGCTGTGACAGACGAGACTGTGGGATGACTAATGACAGGCTGTGACACAACAGGTTGTTACTGGGCCTTGTTTGAATGTGGCGACTGTCAGGTTGAGCTTCAACCTGAAATGTGCTAGTGTAAATACAGCCTGTTTTGTTTGTCTTCCTCACACCCACTCTATTCATACACCTATACCTAAAGAAATGTTAACAACGTGCCAATACCCGGAGGAAAACTACTGCCTCAGCGTGTGTTGTGCTTCAAGGGGTCGTTTCTGCAGCAGCAGATAGCACCACATGTCGGCTACTATAGACTGTTTTTACCTTCCTGTCTCTGATGTCTGTCTGACCCACTTTATTTGCACAATCACACATTTTCACTTCTTCCTTTCTGTCACTAGAGCAGGATGTGGATTAGCAGAACAGAGAGGAAGTCGTCTCTGCCTCGGTGCATGTTTTTTTTTTTTCTTCTCAGTGTTATGTGACGAACTATGATGACGAGTATCTGCCAGACCACAGAAATGGCAAACACTTGATGTAATGTTGACATTTAAAGAGTTTGGTTATTGCTTTAGTAACTGATTTTTTTACTATACGGTTTAGAACAATTTCAGGAGTTAAATGATACCGTTTATTTTTTTTTATCATGATGTATTAATATATTAAGGTTGTTGGAAGAAAGCTGAACAACATAAACATTATAGCTATAGATTAAAAAAAAATATTTATATATATATATTTTTTTATTTTAAACATTTAGCTACCAACAACAGATTCTAAATCCGCACATATTACCAAAACATCTGTTAATCTGCCTACAACTTCTTCTGTGGTGGAAAAACCTTAGCTTATGTAAATCCCTTTATTGTCCCACAATGGGGAAATTCACTCTCTTTATTTAACCCATCCCCTTGGAGAGCAGTGTGGGGTTAAAGGAGAATTCCGGTTTTTAACACTTTTAGCCCATTTTCTGTAGTGTCCAGGATGAAATCGAATGATCGACACCAAAAGTTTGACAATTGCTCCTGTCTCTGCTTTTTGGCTCATTTAGAATCCACCCCTGGCTGCTTTAGAATGGCTTCCATAGAGCATGTCCAATAATGTCCTTAAAACAACCTTAAACGTTCTTTTTTTTAAATATGCTACTCACCGGGTCGTCAGCGCTGTTCAATGACGTTCCAAAAAAAGTTTCGTAAAGAAAAAACGTTCCTGTAGTGTTTTATTTAGCATTTTGTAAATCCCATTGAGTTCTGTTGGAATAGTCAATATTCTCCTGCCACCGGAAACGGAAATGGGGCCTGTTTACACAGTTATAGTCTTTTCGCTTCACTCTGTGTACTCCGACGTCGAGGTGCTAACGTCTCTGTTAAACACTTTAAAAAACTCTGAAAATGGAATACGAAAGGTGGATTCTTGATTCTCGACGTCGGAGTACACAGAGTGAAGCGAAAAGACTACAACTGTGTAAACAGGCTCCATTTCCGTTTCCGGTGGCAGGGGAATATTGACTATTCCAACAGAACTCAATGGGATTTACAAAATGCTAAATACACTACAGGAACGTTTTTTCTTTACGAAACTTTTTTTGGAACGTCATTGAACAGCGCTGACGACCCGGTGAGTAGCATATTTAAAAAAAAAGAACGTTTAAGGTTGTTTTAAGGACATTATCGGACATGCACAATGGAAGCCGTTCTGAAGCAGCCAGGGGTGGATTCTAAATGAGCCAAAAAGCAGAGACAGGACCAATTGTCAAAATTTTGGTGTCGATCATTCGATTTCATCCTGGACACTACAGAAAATGGGCTAAAAGTGTTAAAAACCGGAATTCTCCTTTAAGGGTCTTGCTCAGGGACTCAGAGTGGCAGTCTTTGGGAGTGGGGCTTGAACTCACAACCTTCGGGACCCAAGAGCAATGCTCTAACTACTATAAAACCACTCCTCCCAGATCAATCCCTGGTCTTAATAAATTAATTCAATATCGAGCCCCGTTGAACAGATGAAAGTTATAAATGAATATTTTAGAAACTTGGGATTGAATTAAAAGTTGAAATTCCATAATTATTCCTAATCAAAAACATTTACTGTGTTTATGAACATTACGGGGTCAATGTTTTCTGCAAATCAGCACCCAAATCCCACCTTTAGCTGTAGAAAGTTGTATTGTAGGAATCAGTTTATAGTCATTTATAACTGTCTATAACAGCAAATGAAGCCCTCCCCTATAGACAGTGAAAAAGCAGAATTTAATGTTTAGCCTATTTAATGTGACATTTTGATTTGCACACAGTAAAACCTTGTTAGTTAGCCAACAATTCATTTATGTGTCTAAGCCAAAACAAACAGCTTTTGTTCCTTTATCCAGATTGCTATCCAACTCAAAGCGTCTTTCCTTTGCTACAAATTTAATTAATTTGTTTTACAGAAAAATACTATGCTGGTTGTTGTTTCTTTTAATTGGTATTTGCTTTCATTTATATTAGCTTTTTTTCCTTTCATTTGCCTTTTTGGAACAATTGTTCTCAAAATGTTTAAGAACTACAGCTCTAAATCAAACAAGTCAAAACATGAGATGCTATTCGTCATACAAAACATGTACAAATAGGCCCGTTTTCTGAGTTCTAGCAGAGGCTTGAGGAATTAGGAGATTTAAATGCGGAATTAGTGCAGTGGTTTGCCTTGAGTTGAGTGAAAACTAAAACTGAAATAACAATGAGGAATTGCAGCTTTTCATAATGTGTATATTTAACATTTGTTCATTAAGGTAATCCTAGATAACTTGCAGTAATCCACATGTCCGTTATAATGCAATAATGAACCTTTTACCAGCCATTTGTTTAAAAAAAATGTTAGGAATTGTAGGGTTTTCTTTCTTTCTTTTTTAACTAATTTTTTAACACGTTGTTGCATTGTTTTTTCTAATTTACAGGGTAATAATAAGTCGATACCAACACATCTATAGAGTCCTAAAAGTATGGAATTTAATTTTCATCATTTTTCTAAACAAACATGAGAACAAATTGATAGAATAACTTTTTGGGTTTTAGTTTTTATTTAATTGTTTAAAAGATAAAAAACAAACTATATTTATGTTTGTTTGTTTTTTTACCTGAATGGATATTTAAATGATTTGTCTCCTTTAGTTTGCTGCATCACAGCTTGAGTTTTTGTCCACCAATTTCATTATGTTGCAAAACCAAATAAGCACAAGCTGGTATAAAATCCAATAAGCTCAATTACACAGCTCTAAATCATTTTGCTTCTGGGTTTTACAGTAAATAAAGCTCCACAATCTCATCCAATCCTTGGCAACATCAAAATTTGTTGTGTTTAAATTTCTAATACTGCAGCATAGAAAGTTTTTCATTGTTAGGACACCATATTTCAGATGCCAGACATGTAAAATCTAAATGTTAAAGATATATTTAGTGAGTAAGATTAGCATTATTCCCCATACCAGATTTTTACTTTTAATTTTGAATTGAAATGATGGGAAACAAGACATTTGAGAAATTTGGGTTAATTATAATTGTGATGATTTGTATTCAGCTACTGTATTGGACTATTACATTTCCTCCTATGCAGTGAAAGGAAGGTGTTTTGAATTTTAAACTGTGAAATTAAAGGATTTGTGTTTAATCCAGTTCAATCCAGGTCAGATGTTGTTGGTAAATTGGGGAATCTAACAAGCCTAAACTTGCCCAGGTGCCAAAAAAAATTATTATTTGGTTATTTGGTTCGGAAATTTTGAAAGCTGCTTCAACTCTTTATTTCTGTTATTTTTATCGGTTAGTTATTTTTTTAGTACAACAGAACTCAACCAGCTAAATGTTTTCAACTCAGATGACAATATTTGAATACCATTATTTTAGCCAAAAAGTTTTGTGTTTGGAAACCTGGTAATAAGTAGCAACACTAAGATTCCTAAATGCTGAAAAAAGAACACCAGGATATATTTTTTTTTTGCTGCAAAATCCACAGAAAAGTATTATTAAAAAGAGAAATTGTAGATTTCCTTCCGCTTGCTGGATATCTCTGGTCTGCAGGAAATGTTTTAACTTTATTTGACATAGAATTTACAGCTCAACCAAAAACATACTGTGTAAAAAAATATGTTTTAAAATTTTTTTAGAAACTTGATCTGTTTTTTACTGGAACTCCAGTCCTTATGCTCAACAAACTCAGATTTTAATGTGATATAGGGGCGAGCAGGAGACCTGGAGGAGCTGGTTACTGCTGAGTTTGGCCGTCTGAGGGAGTTCCTGCTTGAGGAAGAGGAGAACATTAAGAAGAAGCTGCAGAAGGAGAAAGAAGAGAAGCTGAATCAGCTGGAGGAGGCGCTGACCCACACCACCGAGCAAATCAGCCAACTGGAAAGCACAGCAGAACAACTTCGCCTTAAACTGAGAGAAGAAGAAAATCCAGAACAACTCAAGGTAAGTAGAAGCAGAACAGAAGAAGAAGAAACAAAATAGAGATGAAAACCAAAGAATGGAGATCAGTTTGATTAAGTTTAACATCAAAGATTGTATCTGTGTTTTGTACCAATTGTTCTGTTCTGTTTCAGGGAATCAAAGATTTCATCGGAGGGTGGGTATTTTTTCCACTCTTATTTCAAAAATATCAACACAGATATCTGACTGAATTACAGGTCATGTCTTCGTAATGTCCATGTGACTGTTGTCCTGATCAATGTCACAAGGTGGTGGTGTGATGTCGTAATCACTCGTAGAGTGAGCTCTGACAGGATGTTGGGGCATGATTGTGGTCTTGTGATTCATTGCTGTCACATATGAAGACAATCAGCAGGAAGAAGAACCTGATCTAAAGAGTTTATAACAATTATTTGAGTCTAAGATAAGATTTAACTCTTCAAGGTTACAGTTTATGAAAATTTCTTTAACGAATCTCATTTTTAGCTGCTGTTTAACTTTAGATTGCATCCCTTTTTTTCCACAAATTGCATCACAACTATAAAAACCTTCTTTCCTCTAGAGCTGCGGGTTTGTTTGAGCGCCCCCCAGAGGTCAGTGTGGACCTGAAAGCAGGAGAGTATCTGGGACCCTTGCAGTACAGGACCTGGAGGAAAATGAGCACCATTTTTCGGCCGGGTATGAGCACATGTCTAGTTTTTAAGTTTTTCAAAGTCAAATCTCAAATTTGAATGTGTTTTTTGTTGTAACTTTATATGAGGAGCTTCATTGGATCAGCACTGCTTCGTGGGATTAAGGCTTTGCTCCCCGACATAATGAGCAAATAGCGGGAACATTTAGGTTTTGACTTCAGAGAGAATGCCCGGTTTAGGAGGGTTATCATAGACAGCAGAGCCTTCTGCCATCTTCTCTCCTCTTGGTCGGTGTGAGCAGCAATGGATGCATGCTGAACATCCTGTCCTATTACCCTCCTCAGCCAATCGGTTCCTCTGTCTGAGTTCCCCTGCCCCGTCTCTGCAGTAAAAATCTCTCCCTGCAGCACTAAATGCATTTATACAGTGGTTTTGATTGACTTCATTGACTTAGTTGTTAAGCATGCATTAGAGTTCTGTTAAAATTATGAGAAAAGTAGTTAAGGTTACTTTCTGAATGAAAACTAACATGATTATTCATGGCGTTATTATGTAACACAGTAACTCCCAACACTGTTGGTCATTACTTTTCTCTTTGTAGTGTCAAAAATAATGTGCTTATCCTGTATTTTCTTTAACAATATTGATCTTAAAAGCATTGTATGTTATCAACTCTGACTCTCAGCTTCTTCCTGGTACAAATGTTTATTCATTGACCATTTTCCAACTCCTCCTGTTTCCTTTCAGCTGTCTCAGCAGTGACTCTTGACCCGAACACAGCCTATCCCTGCTTGTGGGTGTCTCCATGTCACACCAGTGTCCAGGTGGGGAAAATCCAAGCCAACCTTCCCAACAATCCAGAGCGTTTTACCCGGTACAACATCGTGCTTGGCTCTGAGGCGTATTCTTCAGGCAGACATTACTGGGAGGTGGAGGTAGGCTGCAAGAAAGCATGGGGTCTGGGCGTAGCAAGAACCTCTGTCAACAGAAAGGAGGAGATCAGCCTTTGTCCGGATGATGGATTCTGGACCATGGTGTGCAGGTACAAAAGCGATGGCACCAGCGAATACGAAGCGTGCACTGATGCAGATGACACCCTGATATTTCCCTCCAAACCTCCCAAGAGAGTGGGTGTCTTTCTGGACTATGGACGTGGCGAGGTGTCTTTTTATGATGCTACAGATATGAGCCATCTCTTTACCTTCTACAATGCAAACTTTAAAGAACCCGTCTTCCCTTACTTTAATCCCTGGCCTATCATCAATGGACAGAACAGAGAGCCGCTCACCATCGTAACGCCACACTGGGAGTAGATGCCGTTTTGCAGAAGATTCTAGCTACACACTATTATGGAATCATCAGCTAATTATCATGGAGATAAAACCAGAGACGAACACCATAAATGACACTTTAGGACCTCACAGCCTCATGCAAAGATCTAATTTAAGATGTTTGCCTACAAAATGTGCAGCTAAACCTTGATCTGTTCCATTCATGTACTCTTCAGATTTATGTTTGTTTGGCTAATTTAGCATGGCATCAGTCCAGACACTTTACAATTCTCAGTTGGTTTTACGAACTCTCAACACAAAACTTAAATTAGCAAATAGTTTGACAAATTGTATGCATCTTACACAATGTACATAGTTTCCATTCAGTACATGCCTTTAGGTTTATTTTTACTCTCTGTGTGTTTGCTGCGTCTATAAACTGTTTTTGTAACATACCAACATGCAAGGGAAAGCTGTTCCTGACTGTTATTACAATATCTGGTTTCTGTAATGTACAGTTTTCCTGTTATGGTCCCCACATAGATCCTCCCTCATTTAGAAAACATGCAGGCATCTCAGAACAAAGTGGATTATAAACTTCACCTGCACACGCAAATCAATGAAACACACAGCTGACACAATTTATCAATTTAAATAAACCCCTCAAACAGGATTGACTTATTTTGAGTCTATGCTGCAAAATTAGGTGATCATTGCTGGAAAATGCTCCTTGATAAATAAGCTGCCTCTTCTCTTTGATAGCGTCTAATAAAACCTGCTTCTTCTTTTTTTTAAATGAAATTCTTGGGTTAGGTTAACTGTTCTCTTCATCTACTGACTTAAGAAAATGTGGACTTACCTTTTCCATTTAAATTTCGTAAATGTAGTGAGTATATTCTTGCCTGAAATACAACTTTTTTTCTTTTTGTTGATAATCCCTTAGGATTTGTATTTATTTAAAAAGTTATTTCCTGTAAATTCACTGTAATTGTCTAACAGTAAAATATAAAATTTTTAGAAATATTTTGTTTACAAAATCCTGTTTATTTAAAGAACATATAAAGTTTTTGTTTATTGGAATATACACAAAAATGTCACTACTTCGATTTTGTTCCAAACCTTCTTCCTAATTATGTTTAATTTGATTTCACTTTATTTCGGTTCTACATTAAAGGAGAATTCCGGTTTTTAACACTTTAAGCCCATTTTCTGTAGTGTCCAGGATGAAATCGAATGATCGACACCAAAATTTTGACAATTGGTCCTGTCTCTGCTTTTTGGCTCATTTAGAATCCACCCCTGGCTGCTTCAGAATGGCTTACATAGTGCATGTCCGATAATGTCCTTAAAACAACCTTAAACGTTCTTTTTTTAAAATATGCTACTCACCGGGTCGTCAGCGCTGTTCAATGACGTTCCAAAAAAAGTTTCGTAAAGAAAAAACTTTCCTGTAGTGTTTTATTTAGCATTTTGTAAATCCCATTGAGTTCTGTAGGAATAGTCAATATTCCGCTGCCACCGGAAACGGAAATGGGGCCTGTTTACACAGTTGTAGTCTTTTCGCTTCACTCTGTGTACTCCGACGTCGAGGTGCTAACGTCTCTGTTAAACACTTTTAAAAACTCTGAAAATGGAATACGAAAGGTGGATTCTTGATTCTCGACGTCGGAGTACACAGAGTGAAGCGAAAAGACTTCAACTGTGTAAACAGGCCCCATTTCCGTTTCCGGTGGCAGCGGAATATTGACTATTCCAACAGAACTCAATGGGATTTACAAAATGCTAAATAAAACACTACAGGAACGTTTTTTCTTTACGAAACTTTTTTTGGAACGTCATTGAACAGCGCTGACGACCCGGTGAGGAGCATATTTTAAAAAAAGAACGTTTAAGGTTGTTTTAAGGACATTATCGGACATGCACTATGTAAGCCATTCTGAAGCAGCCAGGGGTTGATTCTAAATGAGCCGAAAAGCAGAGACAGGACCAATTGTCAAAATTTTGGTGTCGATCATTCGATTTCATCCTGGACACTACAGAAAATGGGCTAAAAGTGTTAAAAACCGGAATTCTCCTTTAAAACTGCAGATTCAATTTTAGTTTAGAACTGGTGTGAGATGGTAGCGCTCAATCATATTTTACATTTCCTGTTGTTATTACTTTTTTCCACTAGAGGTCATCCAAAATGAACTCCATTTGTATCTCCATCTGTTAAACAGATTGTTTCTACTTGGGCTTTATTAACCTAAAGAAAGTTTTAGGACATACTTTATATCCTGATAATGGGACATCACTGAATAAAAAGACAACTGAGTTGAGTTCATGTATTTTTTTTATTTTTTTTAATCATGGTTTGGATTCTCTTGCTACTTTGGATGAGATTATTTAATTTAATCTGATAGCATCAATCATTACTGACTTAAATAATTTCCAATCTAAAGAAAAAAACACCATAATCTGTCAATTGTACACCAACAGAATTGAGCTTGTGTCGAAACAATGATCCTTAACACCGGAATCCATAGACAGGTTCAAGAAGCTTCTGTTCAGGCAGCAAGTCCAATAATCTAGCAGCTAGATGCTAAAAGAACCAGTTTTAGAGGGTAAATCCAGTATGCTTCAGAGAAATGGGCCAAAATTCGTCCCAGTAGATATGATCCGGTCCTAATTATCAACATATGGGAACTTTTTTCTGTTCGCGAAAGATGCAGAGAGCTAATTATTGAGTTAAGAGGGTGAGGAATAATTTTACTATGTGTAATTTTCCTATCTATGCTTTTATGGTCATCAGTAACATTATTTTCTATGTTCTTAGCTGAGTTTTTTTTTTTTGAAATATCAGTATATCCTCAAATGTTCTGAAACTAGAGCACTACTTTGTTGAAGAAAACCAAACTGCAACCTATTGACTTTGCATCTTTCTCCCAAAGATAAGAAAATCTTAGAAATAAAGAACTGAAGATTTCATAAAGCCATTAGTAGCATGAAGACAACAAATATGCTTTTATGAAGTTTTTTTTACTTCATAGTTAAAATGAAATGACACAGAGACAAGAACATGCAGTGTGAAAGAAGCTGAACGTCAGACTAATCATTTGATTAGCTGTCCAGGCTGTGTTAGAGTTTGGTGTTAACCTGTCACAGACACCAAAGTGTTCCTTGGGCACTGTCTACCTAAGCAAGGTTAATGAGTCTCTTTGTGCCAAGAGAGAAATTCAATAATCTAAGACTACTGTTACAAAGAAATAAGTAATGAGAATAAACATCTGTGTGTTGCATAAAACCTTTTAATTATGCCCAAACCTAATCAAATGTAGGAGTTAAAATTCATGGTTTTATATGTTTTTTAAGTCTAAATATCTAGGTTTATAGTAGCTACACAAGGTTTTAAGTTATCTGCCCTGACTACACATATAGCTATGCTGTGATCCAGCCCAACAGGTACTGATTCTGCAGTCAGGGCCAAGCTCTGCCTGTTTCTCAATGAAGCTACAATTGTTCATACAGGATTATTGGGGTTGTATTTTTGTTGCAGATCTCTTTTATGTGAAGCTGCGCTTCGACAGTTCAATTAGAAACCAAAATATATTTTATTTTCATTGGAGCCCAAAGCTGAAGCAAATAAAACCCACTGGCTTGAGGTAAATAATGGTCATAAATGTAATATTTTAATTTGCAGAGAAATCTACCTAAAAAAGTTTATTTTAAAGGACTTCATTTGTTTTTGTTATCTATAACTTAGACCCTTTCTGTTTTTTTTTTTGTTTTTTTATTTTATTTTATTTTGTTTCTGGTCTCAATTGAAAAAAAAAAAAAACATCATTAAAGGGATAATCATTTGATTAGGTGCCCAGGCTGTGTCTTACTTTGGTGCACCAGTTGCCAGCATGAAGATAGATAAAAAGGTACAAATATAAAAACAAGAAAAACAAAACAAAAGGATGAAATGAGTGACAAATTTACAGCACAAGTAAAACTACAGTTAAAAAAAAAAACATTCAGATAAATGGCCTGTATTTATTTTTGCACCTTTTCAAGTCAGGGGACTCCAAAATCACTACATTCACACAGTCATACACTGATGGTGGTAAAAGCTCATTATGCAGTTAAGTAGGGTGATTTAAAATAATGAAAATATTGTATGAATATTCATGCATATACAATATCATCTGAATTTTCAAAAGAAGGAAAAAAAACTAAAAATAGAAAACATGTAAACACGTTATGAGTAACTTTGGGGCTGTTGATTGTGAGGTCTAACAGCTGCGGAGACGAATAATATATGATGGAGCTCCTTCATGCACCTAGGATGCAGCATTCAGTCCCTGCAGGAGTTGTCCAGCTCTGCAACAGCTTCATGCAATCTTTTCAACTCAAGGTGTTTCTTCTGACTAGTGTTAATGTTATGGATCAGTCTAGCCAAAGTCCAGACTTAAATCTGATGAAGACTCTATGTTCAGAGCTAAAGATTACAGTAATGGCAGGATGTTGTTTAAAAGATGTGAGAATTTGCAAAAACCTATTGAGAAGGCAATAATAAGTTTAAACATATAATTTTAAAATGAAATGTAAATGAAATATGTTCCACCATCTTTGCAGAGATGCCTTTGTTATTTCTTATCAAAACTCTCTTCTTTAACTAACTTAACTAAAACTATTTTGAATTGAAATAACCCAGGGGTGTGAATACTTTTTGGCACATAACCACAAACATATTTAAGAGCCCTAAATCCATCATTTCAATGTAGGACAGAAACTATTGCAAACCTTGCAGAGAAGATAGATAGATAGATAGATAGATAGATAGATAGATAGATAGATAGATAGATAGATAGATAGATAGATAGATAGATAGATAGATAGATAGATAGATAGATAGAGTAATATCCACCTGTATATTATATTCGGTACATATACAGCTGTAAATTTAGTTCATAACACTAGTGATCTATGTATTATATTCATTATTTATAATGGAATTCATCTCTATACTCATTCAGTAGAAACCCATATCCTGTATTTATGGAACCACTATTTATCCTGCACTTGCTGCTATTGCACTTCTGGTTAGACCTAAACTGCATTTCGTTTCCTTGTACCTGTACTTGTGTAATGACAATAAAGTTGAATCTAATCCAATATGGATATAAATCTGACTGATGATTCAAAGCTGGTAAAGCTCCCTGTCACAGAATATTGTCATAAAATACATAAAGCATTTAAAGCGCAATAAAGGCGACGGACACAGGGTTTGAGAATCAGTCTGCAGCCAGACCCAAAAGTTATTTTATCAGACTGGAGATAATCAAATACACTTACTGTAGGCTACAGGCAGTTTGATCCAATTTCAATTTAAATATAGATTTTTTTCAACACAAAAAATATTAGACAAACACAATGTTAAATATTTTCCTGTTTAACTCTCAGGTTTATTCTGCAGATCATCCTTAGAATAAAATGAGTTTTAAGAATTAGAGCAGCGATAATCGCTCGACTAGCCGCCTCCTGGCTGTGTCTGTGTTTACCTGTCAGATACAGTAGCAACTTGTTCCTTTTTCACCAACTTCTTAGGCAAGGTTAATAAGTGTGTCAGTGACTACTGTTGCAGAGAAATAAGTAATGAAAATTAGTCTGACGTACATAAACGTATCTGTGCCACGAGCCATTACATTAACCATAGAGGCCTGATGTGCAACAAGATATCATAATTGGCAGAAACACAATCCTTCACCTCTAAATTATGAACCCATCTGTTGCTCTTGGTGCAACATGTCTGGGAGTGGATTTGTTGCAGGTTCAGGTGAATGTAGGCCAAAAATAGGAAAAATACTTCATAAAAGTCCTTTCACTTTTCTCAATGGATCTGCTCCTAAAATACAACCTGCTGGTTTAAAGCCTCATTCCGGTTACAGAGCTCAATTTCCCCGGGAATTTGTCTCTGACCTTTTAATCAATATTCGATGAGGAAGGGGGGATGAGAAGGGACAAGAAGGCAGCAGAGGGATGTCGTCAGAGTGATCTATGGAAACCTTAAGAACTGGAGAGCGATACATTATTAGTATTTAAAGCGGGTTATTAGGAGATTATCTCTGAGGGTAAAGCAAGGACAAAAAGTGAGATTTTAGCTGTCGATCACCTGCCTATGAGGGTAGAAAAATTAACGGGGCATTTTATTTATGGAAACCTAATGCTTTTAGGGGAATTACTTCCTTTTGGACAAGCAAGACAAAGCAATTCACAGCTCTCCAGGAGGAGCCAAAAAAGCACAAAAAAATGTTAACACGGCTGTGTGCTCGCTCAGCTAAAAATAGAGGTTGCTGCCGACATGTCTACCTGTGTGTGCGTGTGAGCTCAGCCATGCCTGATGAAAGGGATTATACATGCAGGAGCAATGAAGAGGTGATGTGGTTCAGCTTAAAGCACGCCTTTCATCCTTGCATAGCAGCTGAGGTTAAAGCATCCCTGCATCTTTTACAGAATGAATGAGCAGACAATATGAAAACAAGAATCCTGTTTGTTACTATAGAAATGACTTATAAGGAAATGCATGGAAGGGATTACGGGGAATAATGAGAGAGGATAAAGATACAAAAGGATGTAAAAGGGATAGAGGCATATATTCTGGTTGTAGGAGAGTGTTGTTTACCTCTGATGAACAGAAAAGGATGACAAGAAGGAGGGAGAAGGGAAGGAGAGACAGAGGTCGACATTTTAGAGGTAGATAACACTAGGAAGGTAAAGTTCAGGAGGTATAGAGTGTCACCTGAAGAATCAGGAGATAGCCATCAGGGGTAGAGGTGCAGGAACTCAATCCCAGAGCCAAGACGGCTGTAGATAATAAAACCCCCTCACCTGAGCACACCAGAAGGCATATATGGATAGAAGCATCTGGAAAACAGGCAGAGGAATCACAAGGAGTTAATAGGGAGAAGAGAGAAGAAATTAAATTAATTAATTTTTTTCTTTGGTTTTATTATTGCTTTATTTTTTATGTGCTTTAAAAAAATGCTGCAACATTTTCTAAAAGCGTATTCTAATAAATCCAATGTTATTTAGAAGAGTTTTGGAGATTTTTTAAATAAACTGTAGTAAAACCAAGCAGACGTGGTGTAGAGGACAGAAGTGAAGAGAAGGGAGAAGGCGAGGGAGGGGGAGGAAAGAGAGAGCGTGGTGTCTGTGCGTCTGAGCCTGCCTCAGCGAGATGTTCATGCTCATTCGAGAGCCGTCCACCGGAGGAGGTGGTGCTGCAGCAATGAGCGCACCGCAGGAGAGGAGCGCAAAGCAGGTGTGTATGAGGGCATCTGGACAGGTTTGTCAATGCTTATCAGTTTTTCTGTTGTTCTTCTCTCCACGGGTAGAAGAAACATTGATATTATATGATCAAATTTACATTGGTGGGCTTTGCACAATTTCATGCTCCCTAAAATAGGTCCTGAAATCAATAAATTCATAAGTAAATGTTGTAAATAGATGAATAGTTTTGCAGAATAAATATTACAATTTGAAAAGTTGCAGTTTTGATATAAGCTGAGCTAGACTGTGGACAAATTTTAAATATTTACCTGGAAATAAACCTTTAAAAATCAGCAGGAATTTAACTTTTCTGCATTTCTGTATATTTGGCTGCATGTCTGAATAGGACCTGTGCCGTGCCTTCATTTCTAGTTAGGTTTCTTGTTTTTTTTTCTTTCCAATTTCTGTCAACAAAGTATACTGTTATGATTTGGTGAACTCAGATACTTTTATATTTAGCCAGATTTTTATTGTTCTTGTTAGTCTGGTTGAGGTTAGGGTTCTTAAGCTATCAGCTTTAAAATGAAAGGACAAAAATTGCATTCATAGTCTATTTTTTAAGGAATTATTTATCCTCTTGAAACAATCCTACAAATCATCAACCAGTGAAGCTCTTTTAATTTACCTATTCTCGTGTTAATTGAATAAAATCAGCATCTTCCACAACCAGAGAAAAAAAAAATGTTTTAATGTGTTGTTTTCTTAACCCCACTCAGGTGCAGGCTGCCATCAAGAGGAAGATGGAGAGGCAGAAGAGGAGAAGCATTGAGCAGGGGATGGTCGCGGCGGAGGGTCAGGGCATGATCCATGTACCTCCACAGCGTCAGAGGTCCCGACAGCCGCCCCCGATGACGACAGCTGACGAGGGTGAAGACAGCGAAGCTTTGGAGGAACAGCTGGAGGAGATGCTGGAGGGACCTCACAGGAGTAATGGAGAGAATGAGGTGGAGGACGAGCCCGCAGACCTGCTGCCTATAGTCAACTCTGTGTTTGGACAGGTAAGACTGGAACCATCTGTGTGTTTCTGTTTTGGTTTCGATTGCCTAAGTGTGGCCCTGTGTGTGTTTTATTGTGGTTCTCCTGCATCAAGTTCTTCATCTTCTCATGTGTCTGTCCTCTAATTTGAAGGGAACCCAAAGCCAGCAGTTTAAAGCCCAACACCCAACCTGACCTCTGGTCTCACCAGAAGTTTTCAAAGCCAAAACAAAACAAATGTTGCCTTATTTAACTCTAAGAAAGTCATGTAGAAAAGCTGGGATGTCTGAATGCTGAAGGACATGATTTTAGGCTGCTTTGGGGAACATCATTAAATCTTAATCTGTAACAGATACAGCATTGGTATCCGATGAGCCCACTGTCTCTGGTGTCGTCTTTTACCCCAGTATCACATCCCATCACTCAGGTGGTCAAAGGCGACACAGAAGACACAAGAACACAGGAACATGGCAGACGTCTGTCACGGCTCGGTCCAGCAACCATAGTGTGGGAAAGTGTATGTAAATAACACCAAGCTGGAGTTAAAGTCTTGTTCTTCTGCTGCTGCTGACCTGAGCTCATCTCCTTAGTCATTTCTCCTCATTCATAATGACGAAGTTAATGCCACCTAATTACATCAGAAAAACTCAGGAGAGCTGAGGATGAAGTTAGCAGCAGGAAGTTAGAAAAAAATGTGATGTGAGTGGTGATGCAAGTGATCCAAAAAAAGAAGAAATCTGCTGAGTGAGTGGGAGACAGAAGTCAGGAAAGTCTGGAGAGAAGAGAACAGAGCGAAGCTGAAGATTGGATCAGTCAGTGCTTTATTACATGAAAGCTTAGGTTGAGCAGAGAGACAACCACAGCCCCTCGGCCCCCACATAATAAAACGAAGGGAAGCAGATGGCTGGCAAAAAGAGCGATATCTCCTAAAAAAAGACAACCTTTGCATTATTTTATTAATTCAGCAGCAGGAGGCAGAAAAGAGAATACCTCTCTAGAGTTTGTTCCCAGTGTTTCAAATCAAACTTTATATATATTTGGAAGAAGATGCATTATTTTGTCCTGCTCTAACTATTTAAAAGATGTCAAAATATACATATATATGTATACATATATAGATAGATAGATAGATAGATAGATAGATAGATAGATAGATAGATAGATAGATAGATAGATAGATAGATAGATAGATAGATAGATAGATAGATAGATAGATAGATAGATAGATAGATAGATAGATAGATAGATAGATAGATAGATAGATAGATAGATAGATAGATAGATAGATAGATAGATAGATAGATAGATAGATAGATAGATAGATAGATAGATAGATAGATAGATAGATAGATAGATAGATAGATAGATAGTTAGTTAGTTAATTGGATTAGATAGATAGGTAGCCACACACACTAGATCAGCGCACACACACCAGCAGTGGTTCACTGGAAAAACACAATGCACAGAGTTAAGTTACTTCTGTATTCTCATGTAACATACCTTGTTAGAGATGGGACAGTTGGGGGTGAGACGTGTAATCAAAACACAAACACAGAGACGTAAATAAACACATGTGCTTACCTACTGAGCGCTTTAAGGACAAAGACAATTGAAACCAGGAGGAGAAAAGAATCAGCCAAGGAGGGGGTCTTCAGTTGCAGCTGTTAATGTTGGTTCTGTCACAAATAATTTACATAAGCATGAGGAAATGACATTAGGCTCTCTAGAATAGCAGTGTTGCTGTAAGAATAAATATCTATAGAGGACATTTTTTCTTGTTTTTCAGGGCAGGGGTTATATTATGTAAATAAGGGAGGTTGTGAATGGGCAATTTATGCTGATGTTCTTCAGCAAAGCAGCCTACATTTGTGCAGAGGCACGCTGTAAGGTGTTGATTGTCTTCATCAGATTGACAGTATGTAGGAAGGAACTGTCTCCCTGATGGTTGTTTTTATGGAAATAGTGCTCTGTACCACTGTGAAGTCTGAACAGTTTCTGTACAGGGTGCATGGGGTCTTAGAGGTGTTCCCTTTGCCCCTTTATCAGACCCTAGACATGTACGAATCCCTGCAAGAGGAAAGGTCTGTCCCAATGACCCTCTCTGCAGATCCAAATGTTTGCTGCAGTTTAGATCTGTCCTGTTTTGTGGATCAGTCAAACCACACTATGATGAATGGTAGCAGGAGAGACGGGTGTCATTTGCAAGATTGTTATAGACTCGTCTGCTGAGATTTATGCCAAGGGAGAAAAGGAGTTGGGAGAAGACACATCCTTGGGGACGCCAGTCCTAATGGTTCTTGAATATTCTGGAGGAAGCTGGTGATCCACTGAATGGTGGAGGCCAGTATGGCGACCTAGATGAGCTTCTGTTTGGAGATTATCCAAGTTTGGTGTTAAAGGCAGGATCCTAGCTTATATTTCTGGGTGGTTGAGGTACTGCAAGATGCAACACACTCTCAGGTTAACAAGATCATCTGCCAACAAGATCATCTGCCAACCTGTGTTCAAAGGATTTAATGACCATAGCTATCAGGGCGACCGGTCTGTTGTCATTTAATCCTGTATTGTTGTGTTTCTTGAGGACCGGGATGATGGTGGAGAGTTTAAAACATGAGGGAGCCTCATTCTGCTCCAGATACCTGTTAAAAATCCAAGTAAAGATGGAGGTGAGAACAGCCAGCAAAGGTTTTGAGGTAAAAGGGGAAAATACCCTTGAATCCTGGAGCTATTCTAGTCTTCAGATGCTGAAAGACCTTATAAACATCTTACTCAGTGATCTGTAGTGCAGGAAGTAGTGCATTCATGTGTGGTGCAGACTTTTATTCGGCCCCCTTTGCTCTAATACCCTTCAAATAAACTATAGTGCAACAACTTTTGAAGTCAACTCATTCAGAAATATATTATCTTTTTTTGTGTAATTTAATCATATATGAATCTAGTTCATTCCAAGAATCTCTCAGAGCCTTTTTCTGTCTGTTATGTTGAAACTGTAAAATACTAAGAAACAGTCATCTACCTAAACTAAAAGGCTCATCGTACTGTAGATGGATATATGTCAGGGAAGTAGCAAAGAGGCCCATGGTAACTCCAGATAATCTGCTGATTGATATCTTGAATTTCACCAATCAGGGCACACTATAAACAGCAATATTGTATTTTATTTATCGGTGTGTTTAACTTTAAATCTCACTGTAGGTTCAGACGATCTCCGTTTTCTCATCATGAAGATTCTCTGTAGCAGCTGCAGTGACGCGTCCGCTGGATACTGTTGCTTATTGAATCCTGTTTATTCTTCCAGCAATATTTTCTGTTTTGCCTTAAATTATTTCACCGCTCACTGCTGGTTGGTTAAGCTAATTTTACATTTTTTTAATTTATATTTGTTAAATATTTTAAAGGAAATAATGCTTTAGTTTTTGCAGATTTGTAATGTTTCCCCTCAATGTGACTTTTGCTCATTTCATTAACCTTAGGGCAACATTTTATACAATAACTCCCCCGTTATTTATACATATTATCATAATAAAGAAATAAAACATTTTGATTAGCTCTTTTACCTGTATAAGTTTTTACATAAATTCTAATATTTGTATTGAAGCTCGAGTCAAATCAAAGAATTAAACTGAATTTTAACAATCTTGCTTTACAACCATAAGGTATCTGTGTACATGATTTCTAAAATCATCACAGAATGAGACATCATTTGAGCAGCTCAGCCTTTTCACTTCTTTTCCATTCCCTTCTACTTCCCTTTTAATCAGGCAGGGAGATTAACGCCTATCTGCCTTGGCCTCCTAATTCTTCCTCTTAAACTGAAGTCATTGGAATCATTGTGCAACATGTGAACGATAGAGATAGATAAAGGAAAAAAGAAGAGGAGGGGTCGTTTGATGGGTGGATTAAAAACCCTGTGGGAGGAGGAGGAGAGGGAAGCTGTGTCTGCAGAGACAAGTGCCATCAGAGGAAGGTCGGTTGGACAGGGTTAGTTTTTGTATTGTTGGGTTGGTTTGCTCATGTATGGATTTTAAACGTGTAAAGAAATAAGAATAAGAGAAAGGAGAGAAAGGTTGGTTGCAGGGGGTGACGTTTTTGATCTAGAGTTCTGGTGATGGGAAACTGCAACGAACCAGCTATTAAACGGAAACTAAAGAAGGTAGGAGGACTATGATTAGTCTTTTCTTTCTGATTTTCTATAACCCTTTTTTACTTTTAGTTGCTAAATTTAATATTTTAGGGAAGGAATTGACCTATATATATGTGTTCGAATAGTTAAAACGTACAGCAATATTCAATAAATTGGAATATCATTGAAAGGTTTATTTATTTATTGCCTATTTTGGTCATTTTCTGCTTATAGCTATGGGGAAGTTTAAAATACAACATACTAAGATAAGAATATTAGATCAGACAAAAAGGAAAAAATATTTTAAAAGCACAAATGTGAGCTTACTTGTTGCGTAAGGATTGTTATTTTCAAAAGTACTTTTAATTAGATCACTAAGACTCACCAGATGTATAGATTTGTCATTATATCTTTATATTTCACTGCTATTCTGTCTTGTAAGAATAAAAAATGAAGATATAGCACAAAACTACAGGTTGATTAAACATTGCAGAACATTACATTAAGTTAAATTGTTGTATTTTATAACTTTCTTAGAACTGGGTTTAAAAAGGTCTCGAAGCCTTAAAAATGTCTTTAAAACTTTTCCGGACTAATAGATTTCAGTGACTTCTCTTTGGTCCTAAAATTTCTTTTGTTTAGAGCATGACATATTTTTAGATCTCTTATCCTACTACATGTTAACAGACTGGTTCTCTTTAAGTTTTATTGATATTATAGACTGCTGATATTACAGTTAGCACTGAAAACCTGTTTATATTTACTGGGGCTTTCTTTCTATACAGTTAAAAGGTTTTTTGTTCTGATCAAAAAGCCTTTTTTTCATTGCAGTATATATCGCGACCAGGGTCTTTTACAAAATAAAGCCGGAGCTTTACGCGAAGAACCAACCAATTATTAAGCTGATTTTTGAAGCGATTCACAGACAATAAAATGCTTGATGTAGGTGTTAGTGAGGATTTCTGTGAAATAATGAGATTCTTATGTAATTCAGGCTTAAAGTCCCATTAAGGCTCACGTTGGCATGTGCAGAAAACAGTGGTCCATATTGTGTTCCATCAGTGACAAATCAGGTTTATGTTGCTGTGAGAGCTTTAATCTAACAGCCGATGTGTCTTTATAAGAGGAACACATATGGGACACAGCGGGGTAGGCTGAGGGGCCAGCAGGGTCTGCAGGAGGAAGACGAAGAAGATCAGGATATGGAGGATAAGTCATTTAAGGATTCCTTCAGGGCGCTGATGAGGAACTACAAAGTGCTGCAGAACATCATAGGCCCTGCCTGCATCTTCCTTAAAAAGGGCTTTGTTCAGACAACCGTATGTAACAGAAATCACTCTGTCCTCCTCATTAAGCTTTTCCACTCGTTTCATCCCCACATCTGGGCCCTCCATCAGCCTCCTCCCCTCATCACACAGGCCTGGGTCAGACAATCAGATCCCGCAGCACAACATGTCCTGGGAAGGATTGATTGCCGACTTTGATGGAAAATTATCGACTCACTTTGTAAAGCTTGTCTTTAAAATCTGGGACAGGAAAATGTGTTAGTTTCCAACTGAGACAAGTGGGCGATCAGACAAATTAGGTCTTGGTGAGACAGCAATACTTGCTAAATCATCTAGCTCTAAACCTAGTCACTTGTATCATTCTTCTGCTTTATATTTCAAATGTAAACTATGACTCTGCAATAAATTGATCCCTTTGTCCACTGTCTATATCTGCTTATCCACACTATCTCCAGCTCACTGGCTGAGAGGTGTCATAGGGGAGACAGTATGCACACACCCACACCTAAAGAAAAAAACAATGATTTAAAACTAATGTCTTTGGACTGTAAGACCTGAGTCGACTATGGGGGCAACCTGTCAACTACATGCATAAAGTTCCTGATCAGGACTGGGAACCAGATCTTTCTTTCTGCAAAGCAGCAGAACTAAATCTTTAGTCAGTGTTTCATCTGAAAATCATATGGTTTTCAAATTTTTAATGCAATTTTATTCAGCTAGCTCTGCTTCAATGCAATTTAAAAAAAAACACCTGTTTCTTATCACCCTAAATACACCAGCCCCTTAGGAAAACACAGTAGTTGCAGCATCATGCTGTGGGGTGGCTTTTCTGTACCAAGCAAGAAAGATCTGACAGGAAGATTGATCAAGCTAAGTAATGGGGCATACTTGGCAGAAAGCTAAAGGAAACAAAACTGAAATCTAAAGGCCTGGCAAAGACTGTAACCATGCAGAATGGCCTAGTCAAAGTCAGAAGGTTTTCTTTAGAAAGGAAGAATGAGGCAAAATTAAGAGTGACTAAAAAGTAAGGTTAATGTTATCTGATTGATAAGAATACATATGAAAAATAACTGTTTATAAAGACATCTAATCATGATTACATCACAGTTAGCCTATCAATCAACATAAAGTTTTTTTTTATATATATCTGAATTTTCCACTCAAAACATATTCCATCATGTTGAACTTGCTTTCATTGTTGTTTAGTGTACCCCCATGAGCTGATGTGCTTATTTTGTGTATAAATGTTTGGAAAATGTGATTTTGTCTCTGAGCTTTAATAAATAAGTTCCCTTAACTCTTTTCCCCCCAACAGGATAGAGAGCTGAGACCAGAGGAGCTGGAAGGTAAGACAATTGCAAATCTATCTGAACTGTGAACATTGATTGTGCTTACAATAATAAAAAGATTTGAATTTCTGATCAGAGCTCCGTGAGGCATTTGTGGAATTTGACAAGAACAAGAAGGGCTACATCAGTCACAGAGATCTCGGGGAGTGCATGAGGACTATGGGATACATGCCTACAGAGATGGAGCTCATCGAACTCAGCCAACAGATCTGTGAGTGAAGCAACTGCAGATCACAGAAAAAGGAATAAAATATGAGACAAATAATGCTTTCTTAAATGGGTCATATGGGCAGTTGTCCAGGGCGGCATTAGAAAATGGTGAACATCGCACAAAATAGAATAGAAAATCCCTTTATTGTTCCACAATGGGGAAATTTAGTTAATGTCAGCAAGTGACAGGTAATATACAGTAAAAGGGTCACACAGGTATAGAAATAAAAAAGTGTATATATGTACCAAAAAATAATAACAGAATAAAGTGAAAAAAGGTTAAACAAAAACAGTCAGTAAAAAGAAGGATAAATAACCAATAAATTCAGTAAGTGAGTATGTATAGAAATAGCAGCAACAGAAAATATGTTATAGTCCTCCAGCTGCAGGGAGGAAGAAGCTGCGATAAACGCTCTTTTGTGCATTCACCGTAAAGCAGGAGCTCTGCAGTTCAGCTGCAGCTTCATGCATGGGGTGGTAGACATTTTCCAACAGATATGTTAGTTTAGTTACAGTCCTTTTGTTTCCAACCACCTGAGCTGAGTCCAGGGGGCATCCAAGCACAAAGCTGGCCTTCCTGACGAGTTTATCCAACCGATTCCTCTGAGCCACAGATAATCCACTGCTCCAAAACACTACACCATAGAAGTTGGTCGATGCAACAACAGAGTCAAAGATAGACTTCAGGGGTGGTCCTGCAGTTCCAAAAGACTTCAGTCACCTCAGCCTGCTCTGATCCTTTCTTATAGACATCATCACTGTTATGAGTCCAGTCCAGTGTACTAAACAGTACACTGGACTGGACTCAAAACAGTAATGACTCCCATATACTTTTAAGTGTCCACTACAGTATCTCAATGTCCGCCCCCTGGACATGACATGATAAAAATGGAGCTTGTCTGTCAGATTTATGTTTTTTGTGTTTAGAATGGAAAGCTTCAATGTGCAGAAAAAGCATCAGCTACTTGGTGCTCACCACAACATAGCTTAATTCTGTTATTCCATAACCAAGAGGATGTGAGCAGAATTGATTGTATTTTAATGTGACTGTGTTTGTGTTTTCTAGCTGGAGGCAAAGTGGACTTTGAGGATTTTGTGGAGCTGATGGGACCAAAGTTGCTGGCAGAGACAGCAGACATGATCGGGGTCAAAGAGCTACGAGACGCATTCAAAGAGGTTCAAATAGATATAATTCATTATTTTTGGACACATAAAGAAATAAAGACTCCACGCACGAGAAATACTGACTGATCTAATTAATTACTCACAGCTCACAAACAAACACTGAGCTCCCTTAGAGATCTGAGTTTAAGAACCCCAATAATTTTAATCTAAGTTGGATTTTTTCTTTGTTTCAGTGTTTTATGTTAGTTAATTATTATGAGTGCACAAGTTTTACACTGTTAACATAAGTTTCAATATAGGTGGGGATTTGCGCTGTTTTCTCATTAGAGTAGACAGGTTTTATGTTGCGTTTTAATGAGAAACTGTCTACAGATCTGGCAGCTCTTATTGATAGTTGTGTAGGTGGTTAGCGATAGTCTCCTAAAGTCTCTACTTGAGTAATGGTTTAGCATTAGCAAAGCTAATATTTAATTTCTTTAATATGGGTTAACGAAGCTAACTTTTTTGTAAACCTGGCCCACTCCTGTCTATATAAAACAAAGAAAACACATAAGGAATCACACTGTAAAAAATTTATCAAATGGATTTAAAGTGTGTAGAATCATGGATTGACTGTCATCTACCAAGTTGTGTGCTTCACTCATCAAATTTCTTAATTAGTGCAATGTATGTAAAAGCAAGAAAACACTAGAAAATCAGGAACAGATAAAAAAAGAAAGTTTCTGATATCAGTCAATCATGGAAAGGATAAGTTTTATGTAATTTATTGGCCTTTTTTTTTTTTTTATTGAACTTTATTGATCTCACACTGGACAAATTTACCTCTGCATTTAACCCATCCCCTTGGAGAGCAGTGGGCTGCCATTGTGCAGCACCTGGGGAGCATTTTGGGGTTAAGGGTCTTGCTCAGGGACCCAGAGTTCAGGCTTTGTGGATTGAACCAGGTACTCGCAACGTTCTTAGAGCACAAGCACACTTTAAAACGCTAGGCCAACACTTTCCCCTCACTTTGAAACTCAGAATAACCACACTGAGAAACAATATTCACAAATTAAAATAAAAAACAGGGCAAACTCTTCTTGTAAATGGTCTGAATTACTTCAGGCTGATCAGAAATGTATATCTAATTTGTTCAAAGTCAGAAAACTAAAAATATATAATCACATGTCATATATTTTTTAAGATTCCTTTGTAAAAATGCACTATTTTTAGGTAGGACATAAACTTTTTTACGAATATAGATGTGATTTAAGCAAAGTACTTGGAAAACAACAAGAGGCATCATCAGTAGTGTTTACTTCATGGGTGACGCTTTAGAAATCAATAAATCCAGCAGTTTAATAATAATAAGTAAATTTTTATTCTTCTCCCCATTTTACTCAAATTGCTGTCTCATTGGTCACCTTGTCTGTGCGCAGTTCGACTCTAATGGCGACGGTCAGATCAGTTTGACGGAGCTGCGTGAGGCCATGAAGAAGCTGATGGGAGAACAAGTGACAAACAGAGAGATTAACGAGATCCTTAAGGATGTTGATCTGAATGGAGACGGCCTGGTTGACTTTGAGGGTAAGAAAGATTCAACATAATGTCTTCGACATCCACCTCAATGCTTCTCATTTCTGTGTTTCTGTCTTCTCAGAGTTTGTGCGAATGATGTCTCGCTGATCATCCCAGCTGTCCTGCATGTAACACAGGAAAAAGCAACACGTTCCTGCTGTGAACTTTATTTTCAATGTGTTTAATATAAATATTTTTCTATCAAATATCAAAACAGGAAAATATATAACTGAGACAAAGGAAAACATATGAATAGCAGTATAATACATATCAGCTTGCAAATGAAAATGTATAATCTCTTGATTTTATCATATTTTTTATATGTAAGTTATTCTTTTTTCGGGGTGTATTTTTTTTGTAAATATTCCTATTTTAATAGCGAATAAATAAACAGATGAATGGAGAAACAGAAGCCAGTTATTTATGTATTATTTATTATTATCATTTATTTCTATTTAAGGTGAAATGGAAAACTTTTAATTTGTGATGTTCAGAAGAGAAAAGAGGAGATTTTAATAGTTTTCTAGATTAATTTCCTCCTCTTTTTAGAAATCAGAAATTGAAAAAAGTTTTTAAACTTATCCCAATCAATCAAGTATCCCTTTTTGGCTTTTTTCTTTTACAAAAGATGTGCAAATTCCAACTAGAAATATCTGCAAAGAGGATCACCAGACAAGATAAGATTGACTATGTTGATCTCACATTGGAGAAATTCACTTGTCACATCAGCTAACTGGCAAAAGAAGGTGCCAAAATGAGGAAAAGGTGCATGGGGTATGTACAGTGTGTCCACACTGTACAGCTGAAGTATCTTATTTAACAGGGTTATTGCACAGGTTATTGCACAGTAATATCATGTGCAATAACCCTGTTAAATTGTTAGATTCCCTCCTTCCATGAGTTGTATGGGTCTAGAGATAGAAGAAATGTGGTTGACAGTTTGTCTGCAGAGATGACAGCATCTGTGACTCTTCAAAGCTCTTTTAACAAAAACATCCCCCACAGACCCAGTTTCTTCCCCAGGTTAATCTGATGAACCCAAACAATCACAGCTAAAAAAGGCAAATTGATACACTGAAAACTAGAAACACACATTAAAACACTAGTCAATTTCCATTTTAATATATTTATATTTAAAATATCTTCATGTTGATTTCAGGAGTTGGGTTGGCTCTTTAGTTTCAGTCACATCAACTTTCAATAATTCTTTATCATAACAATGAATTTTGGGCAGTTTTACAGCCTTGATTCTGTGGGACATTTAGACTGGTTAATTATTGTTCCAGTGTGACACAAAACCAGTTTTGTAAAGAACTGTACTGGTTTCCAAACAGTCCTGTTCTCCAACTGATATCATCCTTTTGAGGAGCAGAGGCGTAGCCAGAAAAATTTTATAAGGGTGGCCAGGCAATGTCCAATGTACACTAAGGGGTGGCGAAAAGTGGATAGGCATCAGAACCTCTGGGTCAATCTACACTGTTCCAACAGGAACATTAATGAGCACAACATCCATATTTTCCAAATAAAGACAAAATATCCTTTCCTACAGCCTTTGCTAAAAATAAATGCATATATTTAAACATCTTCCTAGATAAAAGGTAAAGTGGATTAAATTCTTTCAGGTTTGAGTTCTGGGGTGAATATCGTTTCAATTTTCATTAGTTACTTTTATCAATAATCATTCTGCAAAAAGTATATATTTACAAGTACTAATATCTACATAAAATTATTAATACCTTTTTATAAAAATAGTTATCTATGATTTCACTGAATACTCCTATATGACTTGCAGAGAGAAATAATTTTCTCTTTACCCCATATAACACAAAATGTAGTTCTGAAAAGAGCTTGAATTCTGTACTTTTCATCTTTAACCAGTGTTTTTGTTGTCAAGTAAATGTTTACATAGGAAAAATTTAAATGTTTTGAATATTTCACTTGAGAGTATTACTGTTGCCATCATCTGTATTAGAGGGAAAAAAATGGTTGGGGTGGCCACAGGGGCCCCCCATCTAGCTCCGCCCCTGTTGGGGAGGTGAGATTACAAACCAGGTCTTCTTATTTATCATCAGTTTCTAATCTTGAAAAATTGTCTTTTGGAAGAAGCATCATAAAAACTTATTATATATATAAAAAAAAAAAAAAAACGTAAGTAAATAAAAAAAAAACATTTAAAAAACCTTTTTTAGAAGTTTTGCAATGATTTCCACTTTTAAGGCTGGGCTGACATCTTAATGAACTCTGTCCACTAAAAATAGGATTTCTCTTAAGTTCATGTGAAGGCGAACAAGACAGTATGTTAGCCGCTAACATTTTAGACGTTACCAATTCAGTAATTCTCTTTTTATTTATTACAAAATAACTATTGAAATAAAATGGTGATAAATAGCTATAAAGCATTTAAGAAAACAAAAAAACACAAGTTTAAAAATAACAACTTCATGGTGTCACAGTCTTGGTTTTGTTATGTTTATTTAGAGTATTCAGTCTTACTTTGCTTCTTGTTTTAATGTCTAATTATTATTTTGTTTTCTTGTTAGTTCCTGTCCTCCAGGTTTTCCATTTGTTGTCCTCTGCTGCCCTCTTGTGTCCTCTATCCCTAGCTCTGTTCTCTGCTCTGTCCTCCCTTGCTGTTTTCTCTGTGCTGCTAGCACCTGTTGCCAATTTCCTCATCAGCTCTCTCCTTGTCTCTGTCCCCTTTAAAAACCCTCCCTCTTCAGTTCTTGTTTGCTGGATCCTTGTCTTACATCTCATCAAACCTCTGGTCAGTTCTCTGTCGTCCTTCCTTGTCTCTTCCTGGTTCTTAGTTTGGGTTTTTCCCTGATGTCTCCTAGATTCTGGTTCTGAAGATATTTTTGTTGGATTTTTTGACTCCTGTCTTGTGAGATATTTTTGTTGGATTTTTGACTCCTGCCTCAGAGCCTGTTTACCAATTAAAACACTTTATTCACTTCAACCAACTCATCTCTGCATTTGGGTCCTCTAACCAACTCCACCAAATCGTGACACATGGTTTTTTTGTTATTTAGGCCCAAAGCTGCAGAAATTAGTTAAACAAAATAGATGAAATCTAGAAAATAGCTAATAAAGCAAAGAGACCTGCATACATGTGTGTACATTAACATAAGTGAAGATGATTTATCCCTGTTACATTTATTAATTCTAACACAGCCATGAATTTTCCGTTGCATGAAACCTGTTAAGGACTTCAGCAGTTATACAATGTGCAACTATGAGGTTCTGTTTAAAGATTTATGCTGCAAATCATTCCAACCTCACACAGTGTATCCTTAGTAGGTAAAAACATCACCATAGGCATAAATTGTTGTTTTATGATTTGTTTCGGTCTTTTTTAAAGTTTTTTCTTATTTTTGTTAATAATTCACAAGAGCAAGATCTTTGAAATCAATGTTTTTCCTTTTATTGAAAACTTGGCTAAGGATCTGTACAGCAGAAAAGGTTTGTAAAGCACAAGGGCAAGAGGAGACGGGGTAGGGGGTGATGAGGGACTCCGTTTCCCATGGTGCATCATACCCTTAGCCGAGAATCATGTGTGAAACAGCAAGAGGTACTGAGTTTTCTCTTTGGAGTCTCAGAGGACTGGATGGGGGGGTTGAGTTGAGAGAGTTAAAAAAAATAAGAAAGAAAAAGAGAGGAAGCAAAGTACAGGCCAGAGGGGAGAAAGAGACAGAGAGGGATGGAGGGTGGAATTGGTGGTTTAACTGGTCCAGCTGGTCGGGGGGGTAGAAATATACCTTCTCCTTTCACTCCGTTAGATCACAGACCTCTCAAAGGCACTGAGGTGAAGACCCCCAGACGTCTCTCCCCCGTTCCCTCTTGCTCCGCCCCTCTCCCTCACTTCCGCTCTTTCTCTTTCTCTCCTTCCCAAAGCCTCACTTGCTGGCCATGGTGTAGCAGCCATGTGGGTGAAACTGCATGTCAATAATACGCCTCACGGACTGGAACTCAGGGAAGCGGGCACCGTATTCATTGAAGTGCCTGTAGTCGCCCTTCTCCAGCAGGTACTGGGTGCCACGGTATCCAGGGTACTGGTATCCCACCCAGCTGGGGAAAGCAACGAGAAACAGAAATGGGTCATAAAGTAGGGACTTTCATTTGCTGTTTGTCCTCTTTGGTGGTTTGGTACTCACGTTCCACAGCTGACCATAATGCTGCTCACGATATCTGTGAAGCCATAGGAGTAAAGGCTGGGAACGTCATCGTCCATGATCTCCATCTTGCGACCCTGGAAGTTTTCCATCTCATATAGGCAGATCTTGTGCTTCTCTGGGTCCTAAAGGTTAACACATCAGGAAAGAATGCTCAATGTCTATATAGAACCTAAAATAAGATGAGAATGTAGATGTTTTTTTTACCATTCGGACAGGCCTGAAGGACATCAGGTAGTCATTGCGGTTGTTGCTGCTCCAGGAGCTCCAACGAGGATACTCGCCCTTCTCCAGGATGAACATCTCACCACAGAAGTTCATCTGCTCAAATCCAACAAAGCTGCAACACAAAGTTGGGAGACAACCATTCAACGTTTTTTTGTCTGAAATGAAGTCGAAACATGTGGTTTGGAGGAAACTTACGGTCCACACTCAACGCGCAGAGAACGGACGCGGTCCATGCCCATCTCACACACATTCATACACTCATTGTTGATCTCAATCATGCGACCCTGGAAGTTCTCCTGGTCAAACACGAACATCTGGTGGATGGAAAGAAAACTCACACGTTATATGTTTATCAGCTTATGTTACATCATTTACAGAGGGGCAGCTGAGTGAGGGCGACAGACCTTGTAGGACATCATCCCCATCTCAGACTTCTTGCTCTGAGCGGCCTTGCCGTCAGTCTGGGAAGAAGTCTTGGCCTTATCTCCAGTGGACATGATTGCTGAATGAAAAAACATGGAGGTTCATGGCTCTTTTTCTTTTTTTTTTCTTTGACAAAAATATGAGCTGAATGAATATATAGGACTGAACTTCCAAAAATGTCTAGTGTGTCTTACCTGTCTGTGTGTGTGATGCCTGCACCGAGCTTCACTGAGAGTGTGTGTGGCTCAGAGAGCCCCCCTCGCTTTTATACGCTGGCGCCCACAGGAGGAGGATTATGCAGAGAGAAACAAACCTGCTGAGGTCAGAGCAGAGAGACAAAAGAAACCCCTCATCATCAGAGGGGGACAGGCAGAGAGGATAGACAGAAGCAGGGCGGCAGCAAGACAATTTCAATGTAGCTGCCATGACTTGAAGTATCCTGTGTAGTTTTAGATTGTTTTCATCCCCGTCTCTCACATAATATATGCTTTAAGTTTGACTGCGGCTGACTTGGAACAATTCTAATGAATTGTGTCCAATGGCACACTCCTTTTTATTATGTAAGGACCTCTGACTGGGAGAGATTATA